ACAAGGGAATACCGGACCATATCTGCTTTTGCGCCATGACAATCTCACTCGAATTACGGGGACCTACACATATTAGTACAGTATACCGGCCGGCCAGAACCACACGTGCAAGTTTCCCTGCATGTGGCTCGTCCGTGCTTTTCGAGGCGCTGCCTGTGACCCTTTTAGTTAGAGATAAAGGAGGAGTTGGGGGCGGAACTGCGCACTTTCGTGTTCCGAGCATTGTCCGAGTGAGTAGGCAGCGCCTACCAAGCTAAGCTTTCTTGAAGAGGCTGGGCTGCTTCTTTTTCGGCGCCCGCCCTTTATTTATTTAGATGTTGAGGCAAGGCAAGCCCCAGGAAGGGCATTTGGCGAGGAGCATTGTTTTGAGGGAGGGAAAGCGTGGTTGACAAACCACTTCCAGGAGGCGACTGGACTTCTGTGCTTTCATCAAATGATGCATGTGGGCTGAGCCATTCCCATCCCAAGTGTCCGTCCCGTCTCATCTTGATTTGGCTATACTTGAATGTAGCCAGCTTTCAAAAGTCAAAATGCTTCACATGAGATCCTTTTTTCGAATTTGGAAAGGCTAAAAAGACACCTTCTCATTCTCGATAAAGCAGCTCGGCCGCTTTCCTATTTCGCTTTTCCGCCTATCACCTATTAATAGAATAGTTTAGAATAGGCCCTTAGGAATAGCATACGATTGCCCGCCTTTCTTCATCTATACCAGCTGCCGCGCACGAACCGATTTCAGCGCTCCTCTCTAGAGAAGAAGCAGAACGCGCCATCACCTACAGCCCTTTCCTCTGCCGGGGACTTCCACGAAATGAAAACGGGCGGCATCGTCGTATGCGTAACTTTTGTTGCCCTGGTTTATATCCCTCCGTACTCCTATGGCCGATCTGTCACCCAACCTAAAAGCTTGACCCCGTCCCGTTTTCCGAATGACCCCTGACCCCTTCTTAAAAAGCTTATGGCACGGCTTGGTCAGTTATTCTCGCAGTGAAGATAAGATTCAGACCACCACTTCTCTGAAAGCATGGTTCTTGCCTCACTCCCCCCTTTGAGCTCGTCCATTCGTTGGGTGATCCCTTGCTCTCACGTTCGAGTGTTTGCTCGTCGTTTAGGCCCGTGAGTGAGATTTCTGCTCATTGCAGTCACCTCCGGGGTTCTTCGCACCTGGATAGTACCAGGACCCTTGTGCCCCGGCCCTGGAGCCGATCAAGCTGCCCGCCCTATGACCCACAACTCAAAATGAGCCTTGCGACGAGACGCGGACATTCCCCATGCTGCGGTTCCCTCCGGTCCGTTCCCGGGTTGGGTTAGGGGAAGAGCCGAGCGATTGCCTTCGCGGATCCAAACGCGCTCACAAGGCGCACAATAAGAATAAGACCAATAGAGACTTCATAAGGGACCATTTGAGCTGCAGATCGTAATGCTCCTAGAGAGGCATATTTCGAATATAGAGGAGTCAAAGTTCCCAACAATCAAGTAGTTTATCATATCCTTCTATGAACCGTACGAGCACCTTCTCTGTCACCCCCCACCGCGCTTACGGCTCTCTACCCCAACCCAACTTGCTCTGGCCCCGGGTCCTTCCTTTCTATTCCTCGGTAAGCGGACCGTGGGAGCATGGGGGGGCGGTATCTGCTTTTGACTGATAGAAAGTATCTCTCTTTTGTCCCTCCTGCTCAAAACAATGCTACTCGCCAAAAAAAGAAAAATAGAGAAAGTTGTTCTTGCCGGGCTAAACCTTCCTCTCCTTGCAGTCGAGCTAATATCCTCTCCAACTCAGTCGAGTATCTAAAGCACCTCTCCTTTCAGTCGTCAATTGCTACGACCCTCTCCTCCCTCCTTTTTGTCTCTTCGTCTTCTCAGGAAGAGCGCTACGGAACGAAAACGGAATAGAATAAGATAGAACCCATACTTTATGGGACTAGACAGGGAAGGAATGCCAGAATGCCCGGAGTAAGCTTCAAAAGAGCAGAGAAAGAGCCAATAAAGGTACCGGTGTAAGGGAAAGAGTTGCGCTACGGTTTAAAGCTCTCAAAAGGTCAGCTCCAGCTTCAGATTAGAGATTCGGACACTTGCTACACCAGTTACAGCTATTCTTAGAAGTAAAGCCCCTTACTTTTTCCCATATATATGCTTTCCTGAAGGGCAGCTTTATTGGAAGGTACCAAAGTCACTCTTTAAAGCCTAGTTTGGATAGTTCCCAATCCGTCTAAGAAAGACAGAGGAAAAAACAAACAAAGCCAGGCACTATGTGAATTGCCCTTGCGTCGAATAAATACGTAGCTTTAGTTTCAGCTTAGGCGACGTAGTTAGCAGTTTTTCTTCATTCTATTGGCTAGCTTGTGCTTATCTCCATGTCACATATTGGACAGGTTCGTTCCTGGCCAGGGGAGGAAGTGAACCAAACCACTCCCCCCAATTGGAAGTGCCTTATTCTAGGGTTGAGCTAGTCTCTTTCCAACCCGGTCAGAAAGGTCCTATTTGATAGATGAAATTCGATGTTTCGGTCTTCTCTGAGGTCACAGGTAAGTTTGTCCTTTTTTCATTTGATTTGGAAAGGGCAATTCACATAGCGCCTATCATGGTGTCAAAACTCGCAATCTGACGCAGGCTAGCGAAGCAACTTAGGTAAAAGAAGGACAAGCTTATTTAGAAAAATAAGTAGTTTCATCCCTTTGAGAATGATGTCTTGCTGCTTTCCCGCTTTCTAATGAACTGATGCGAGGGCGCCTTCTTGACGCTTGCTTTTTTAGCTACAATTTCGATTTGACTTACGTTGACAACCTTTACTCGATAGATTGCTCTGCCCTAGTTGAATCTGAGGCTGACGAGGCAATTCGAGCATTCAAAGTGCCTTAAGCACTACTACTACTGCTTTCAGTCAGCTGCCTTTAGAGCGCCTTCCTTTGGTCTACCGAAGCTACAGGAGCTTCTTTCCTCAACCAAATTCGTATTTCGACTTTCTCTAGGTGAGCGAGTAAGACCAAATATCCGAGCGAAGTCGACCTCAAAGTGAACTTCTATATCGGCCCATTCCTTTAAAGCAATAGGAAAGCAAGGAATTCGAACTCCGGCGGCTCCGTGAACTAGTCATTCATCCGAGGCAAGGACAAAGCCCAAACGTTTGAGTTCATTAGCGGAGTCAGCTTAAGGCACCAGGCATCCTCGTCATAGATCAATTGATGTCTTCCCCGTAAAAATGGACAAATTCCTTTTCTTAAGAATACTTTTCCCTAAGGAATGGGAAAAAATCGACCAGTGAAAATGGAAACCCGGGGTTTTTGGACACTTTCCTTGAGATAGGATAATGAAAAGGGCGACTTCCTCCTTTGTAAACTAGCCTTTATTTAGAACTAGTACGATGCTCCGATTGCCTCCATTGTGAACTAGTTCCTTTATTGGAATTGGATTCAAGGATTGGGATTGGCCCTTCTTCCTTGTGTCTTGTGTGCCAGGTGTGCTGTGCCAGGGCATCCTCGTTGCCTATCTTCCTTACCTATCTTCCTTACCTATCTTCCTTACCTATCTTCCTTACCTATCTTCCTTGCCGGGTTTAGATCGATTTCCTCGCCGGGGACTTTTTGACTGGGCTTTGGAGTCTTTTCACTGCAGTGGTGTAGCTATCAGCTGTTGGAGTTAGCTTGTCCTGAGGTCATCCATCGCCCTGAGCTGCTCTTTATTAGCAGTCCCTAGTAACTACCTGTCCTCATAAAGGGCTATTAAGCGCTTAAGACCTTCCTTATTCCCCCCTATCTATAGAGCCGCAAGGCAAGGGCAGCTGGCAGCTAGAAATATTGGTCTTTGGTTGGTCCCCCGGCCATAGAGAGCACTATAGGCTGCTTTGAGTTGGGAAAGAAAGCCCGAGCGAGGCTAGCGCCGATTGAGCGACCCGAAGCCCGTATTCTGTATCCTGACAAGGAAGGAAAGGCTCTATGCAATTGACGAGCAAAGCGAGAGGAAGGAAAGAAGCGATAGTTTCTAGAATGCAAGCAAGCTAGCTTGCTTACTCTCCTAGTAGCCTACGTTGGCGGCAAAAACAAAGACGACTATACTAAACTAAAGTAACGAGGCATTCGGGAAGCGACTAGTCGCTTCTGGCGAAGGCCGACCACTACATAGAGAGATCCATATACCAGTCATGAGCTATCGCTCATGCCGCCAGAGGCGGAAGCAGTAGCTTCTAGGACGAAGCCGAGCCGATACGATAGGCGGGCGAAGGGCTAAGCCACTAATGTCGTGGCGAAGGAGGCCTACTATACGTATACTGGATTAGTAAGCGGTGAAATACCAAAAGAAATCCAATTTCAGTGAACTATTGAAGCTATCAGTGTGATTGATCAGACAAGTACCAAGGGCTTTCGGTAGACTTCTTTCATTTCCGAATTTGCTTGCGACAAGTCCTAGCATTAGTATGAGTTCGTTGACCGCGTAAGGGCGATCCATCTTGATGACGAATTCCACGATAACAAGAAATAGAAATGAATCGTTCGATGTCTGCTCGTTCTCCCCTCTTCAATTCCCAATGAACAACATGATCTTGACCTATCATTTGTTCAATTTGGTCGATCTGATACTTAGTTAATTCTTTGATCTTTATGTTCCCACTGATACCTAATCGATAACGAACCTGAATGGCTTTTTTAAGTCCAATTCCAACAATTTTGGTTGAGGCAATTCTTACTTGTTTATCGGCAACTAATCTAGCTCCTGAAATATAGAACATTCTTGATCCTTCCTTTGACTAGTCTTCTAGGCTGGAATCAACAATGGGTTGTCTCCTCTCTGATCATCTTTTCTATAGGTAGAACTCCTGTGAGCGGTCTAAACTTCGATCCTTATTTCTTTCTTTTCTTCAAAGCTGGGCTGGAAATGCGAGTATTTCTCTGAGCGAGTGGAAGTAGGCTTTTGTAGTTCCATCATTTCTCTTTCTTTGAAGTCTCTTTCAGTTCTTTAGCTTGTATGTTGTGTTCTTCTATGACATTTCTAACTACTTCTTGTTTGAGAGCTAGTATCTAAATGTCTGGTTTAGGTAAGTATTAAATATTCCCTCATGGCTTCTCTTAAGCCTTTCAACGATCGTTTAGCTATCCGAATTAGGGATAGATAGTTAGACCTGTCTGTCTGAACATAAATATAGTTAGTGTGTCCTAAGATAGTCTGTATTTTCTAATATCAATAAGTTAATATTAGGTTATCTTGAGCTATCCTAAATCGGACTATTTTGTGTCAATATACGTTCCCAAGATTGTCTGCTAACAAAGTGGATTTGGAAATTACGTAAGTAGATGATTGAGCCATCAGCGGGCAGTCATCGAGTTGTGTTTTCATAAGGACCAACGACGATCTGATACTAAAGGAGAAGGAGGAGTAGGAGCTAGCTTGAATTGAGAATCGAATGATTACGAGATAGACAATGAGAGAAAGAAGAGCACTTAGACAATTCACTTTGAGTACAGGGAAGTCTGCTGGTAGGAATTCTTCAGGACGTATTACTCTTTTTCACCGAGGGGGTGGATCGAAGCGATTGCAGCGAAGAATTGATCTGAAACGAAGCACTTCGTCTATGGGCATTGTAGAAAGGATAGAATATGACCCTAATCGTTCTTCTCGAATCGCTCCAGTACGATGGAAAGGGGGGGCCCACCAGAGAAAATGCAAGACGATAGAAGAGTTCGCTCCGCCGAAAAAGAGACTCGAATCTACCACGACCACCATCCGCGGTCCATTTGCGTTCTCTTCCCTGCCCGGGAAGGTGGATCAAAGAAAGGTAGCTTGCTTCTCTCCTGGCCTGATGGCGGTTTATGTAGTGGTCGGCCTTCCGTACAGAATGCCCTCTTGGTCGAAGAGCCACTTTACTAGTAAGGGCGCTGGAAGCAAAAAAACTTGCGCGAAGGACGTTTTCTTCTCTGCCTTCTCCTCTCCAAAGGCCAAGGGAGAGACTGCATCCCTTTCCTTCGGTAGCTCTTTTGGTTTCCCAAGGATAGCGGTAGCTGGGGCAAAGCCCGCTTTCTTCGTTTTTCGAATGAGAGAGAAAGTCAGAGGAAAAAACACGTTCTCTCTTTGCGAGATCCGAAAATGGAGAACGCATAGCATTCTCTGGGCACATAGGATCAAACGTAAAGCAGCGCTCTCTTGGCAGAGTTTTAGGCGGCAAGAGATTTTAGGGCTTGTTGGAGCTTCTGAGCATAACGAATCGAAGCCGAAGACGGATCAAGGCTTTTATACCAAGGCAATAGACGAAGGACCGAAGAATGGAACGTGCAAAGTAGATCGTGCACCTGTCACTTATATAATAGCCAGTCATCAATTTCCAGCGGGCAAGATGGTGATGAATTGGTCTAAACCTTCGACTAGCGACTTATTGCGACCTGCCCAGAATGCCAATACATACTAAAACCTTGTTCACACAGCGAAAAAAGGGCGAGTAGAAGAATAATCAAATCCAATTTTGTAGTAATCTTAATCTTATTATTCTACTTAGTGTATTTAATATAGTGTATTTAATAACCTATCTTTAGATCCAGGTGTTATACAAGGGTTTTGTAGTTCCTTATTTATTTTCGTTCTTTTTTTGGCCCATTCTCTATGGGAATCCCCAATCCGCCTTGGGGGAACCCTCTCCGAGCGAAACGAAAGACCTTGCGGGGAACACTTGAGAGAGGAAGCAGGATCATCCACATCCTGCTCAGCGGACGCTATTCAGCAGCAGCTTCAGGACCGACTCTTTAAAGAAAACAACTCTATTAAAAAAGAAAGAAGTTCCAACCCTTGGATAGATGATAAGGGGAGGAATTCCAAAGAGAAAAAATAGCATATCCAATCCTGCAGGACCTATATTCCCGAACAGAAGTGATAGATAAAATCTGTTCGGAAGAGTTCATCCCTAACGAACGGCAAGAGCAGATCCTTTTCTCGAGCAAAGCCAGACGTAACAGAGGAGATAGGCGTCGACGAATAGTCATGATGATGATTTGGAGTTTTCCTCTCCTAAGAGCTGAATTCATATAATTGTGTAATCTTTTGATTCTATCCAATTTCTTTTTCAGGTCTTTTGTTGAGACTCAAGACCGCTCGTTGGTCCTAAGCCCCAGGCAATTCCGAAAGCCTTTGCGGGTCTCCGCCGCGTGCTTTTGCGCTATGTTACTTACGATCTTTCTGTCCGAGATTTCGACTTAGTGATCTTTCCCTATCCGCTTTTTTCAGGTGCAGATGAAGAAGAAGGCTCGACCGAAGGAATGAGTCACAAGGTGAATTGGTTGCCCCAACTTTTTCGACAAACGAACGGACATTTTCGGGGACTAGCCCGCTGGAAATTACTCAATAGGGCAATTCCTCGCACAACATTAAGGGAGCCATTGAAAGGTGACCAAAACACCAGAAACGACGACTACCCGAGCTAATGATAGAGGCAAGAACACTTTCCGGCCAAGTCTCATTAATTGATCATAACGATATCGTGGAAATGCTGCACGGACCCATATATATAGAAACAAAAACAGAATCACCTTGATACTAAACCAGATCGAGCCCGGGATCTTCTTGAAAATAGGAAGATCTAGGATAGGCGGCCAACCTCCTGGAGAGAGCGATGTGCATGGACCAGGTGAGTAGGGATGCAGCTCCGTGGACCGCTCGTCGGGCCTGATAGGTGGTGGTATCACACCCTTCTCAAAGAAACCGTACGTGACACTCTCGCGTCATACGGCTCCGTCCCGGAATCAGGACCTTACCCTTTCTTTGACCAACGGTCCTCAAACCAACCTGAAACGCACCTTGTTGAACTACCTAAGATAATGCGTCCCAGGGTCGGAACTTCAACACTAAGGCTTTGATTCTCCTGATGGTTGGTCAAGTAAGAAAAAAGAAATGTTAGGAAAGAAAGCGGGAAGAAAACGAAGATACCCAGTACGAAGACCAAGAGAGCTAGCGATGAGCCGTCGGAGTCTAGGCCCGAGCACGATATCCTCCATAACAAGGGCTATTCACCGACCTAGTAAGAAGTTACTTTCCACCGATAGCTTATTTATATGGGAAGAAACCCAAGATCGAAAAAGAAAAAAACGGAAGTACGCGCTTTAGGTCGACATGTATCTCTATCCGCTGACAAAGCAAGAAGAGTAATTGATCAAATTCGCGGGCGTTCCTACGAGGAAACACTTATGATACTAGAACTCATGCCCTATAGAGCATGTTATCCCATTTTGAAATTGGTTTATTCTGCAGCAGCAAATGCTAGTTACAATATGGGTTCCGACGAAGCCAATTTACTAATTAGTAAAGCTGAGGTTAACGAGGGTACTAGTGTGAAGAAATTCAAGTCCCGAGCTCGGGGACGTAGTTATGCGATAAAAAGAACTACCTGTCATATAACTATTGTAGTGAAAGAGTTATCTTTAGATGAATATGAAGAGATAGATTTTTTGAAAAACCCTAGATAGGAAAAGAAAACTATGGTATATCATGATGTATATAGTAGTGGAGTAGTATGGGACAAAAAAGAAATCCACTTGGTTTCAGGCTTGGTACAACCCAAAATCATCATTCGGTTTGGTTTGCACAACCAAAAAATTATTCTGAGGGTCTACAAGAAGATCAAAAAATAAGAGATTTTATTCAAAATTATATACAAAAGAATATGAGAATATCTTCCGGCGCCGAGGGAATTGCCCGTATAGAGATTCAAAAAAGAATCGATTTGATCCAAGTGATAATCTATATGGGATTCCCAAAGTTATTGATTGAAAGTCGCCTAAAGGTAAATGGAGGAATCGAAGAATTACAGATGAATTTACAAAAAGAATTTCACTATGTGAACCGAAAACTTAATATTGCTATCACAAGAATTGAAAAACCTTATGGAAACCCTAATATTCTTGCAGAATTTATAGCCGGACAATTAAAGAATAGAGTTTCATTTCGAAAAGCAATGAAAAAAGCCGTTGAATTAACTGAACAAGCAGACACAAAAGGAATTCAAGTGCAAATTGCAGGGCGTATCGACGGAAAAGAAATCGCACGTGTTGAATGGATCAGAGAGGGTAGGGTTCATATAAGACGATAAAGCACTTCCACTTCCCTCTTCAGTAGCTAAGAAGCGTCAGTTAGGATCTGACTATATAGATAGGATGTGGCTACTATATCTCTTTGAGTTCATGTAGTTATTGAGCTAGAGCTTAGAAAGAAATGCATCCCTAAGGGGAAGTTCGTAAGCCATAGAGTGTTGATGGGAACGACCCCAAGGGGATAATAATCAGAGGAGGTCTCTTCTTCCTAGCAGGACAGAAGTTCTCCCTTATGGAGTCAGAGTATACCTTCGCAGTCCCACGCGTTCAATCTTCCTGGGTCCTCCTGGGGACGTATATCCCCAGGCCCCAGAAAACCAGTCCCCAGTCCCCAGTACGCAGGCCGCAGTCAGAAGTTAGAAGTCCGGTTAAGTTAGCCTAACATGACGCTTAAGAAAGAGGTGCGTAAGCCAAGGCGAGCTTATGTTATAGAAAGGGAAGGCGGAGCAATGTTTTTTTAAGAAGGGGGCGAAGAGATCCGCAACTTTCACAGTGAAAGGAGCCCACTTACCCACTCCCCTTTCCTCCCATTGCTAGGAGCCTCGCCCTCTTGACTTGATAGATCAAGAAGACTACAACCGATAGTGGATCGCCTTTTGCAACAATAAGCAAGAGTTGGTAGATCTGAAAATAGCTAGTATACGAAAGTCAAGTAGTCACTTCCGTCGTTCAGGAAGAAAGACAAAGCCTAATGATTTTTCATCCCGGCCCGGGTTTTCCCCACTAACTAATTAGCTTACGACCACTGAACAAACTTGGTTGACGAACATAGTTTATGCGCCGCTAATGTAGCGGCTTGTCGAGCATTTGACAAACTCACACCATCCATTTCAAATAGGATTTGTCCCGTGGACACACGAGCAATCCAACCCGTAGGATTTCCTTTTCCTCTTCCCATTCTGACTTCTGTAGGTTTTCCGGTAATAGGGATATCCGCGAGAACTCTTACCCATATCTTACCATTTCTTCGGAATTGTCCGCTCATAGCACGATGGAAGTGTCCGATTATAGCACGACGCGCTGCTTCAATGGCTCGATATGAAAGCCGACCTGCTCGTAAACTTTGAGTGCCATATCTTCCAAAACCAAGTTGTGTACCGTCCGGTTTGCAACCCCTACTACATCTGCCTTTACGATATTTACTATATTTCGTACGTTTTGGATATAGCACGCCTCTTTCTTTTTTGACTATATGAAATCCACACTTTGACACCTAAGATTCCGTAACGAGTAGATACTTCCGCAGGAGCATAATCGATTTTCTGGTTAAATACATTACGAGATGTTTTTCCATACTTTCCGCATTCAGTTCTAGCTATTTCTTCACCTTCTGATCGACCTGAACAACATATACGGATCCCCGTAACCCCCTTTTGAATTCCTAATGGAATATTCTTCACTATTTTACTAAAAATAGAACGAAATGATCTTGTTTTGGTCCTCAGTTGAAAAGAGATGTCTTGAGCAATCGGAGAAGCACTTTGATAAACAGATTTGATCTTGACCGATTCAATGTTGGTATTAGTCTTTGTTCTATTAGACAACAAAGATCGCATTTTTTTCACTTCGTTCAAATAAGAGTTGTACCCGTACGGAATTCTTCTCTTTCTCAGTATGATCTCTATCATCATCTCTATTCCCTTTATCAATTCTCCTATCCTACCTAGGTCTATGAATTTCTCTATCAATTCCATTACCTTATCCTTAGCCATGAGGTTCCAACATTTTCTCCTTAATTGACCTAGGAGTTGTTCACGGGCATTCTCAAAAAAAAGGTTATTATACACCCCAACCCCATCCCTTGGAAAAAAAAAGGTAGCACCGAAGAAAGGAAAGAGCGAGATGGTGGTTTTTGGTGTTCCCGCGAAGCGAAGATCATTCGCTTGGCGAATGAAGTGGGTCAACCTCTTTTTGGCTTCGGCCAAACACTTTTTATCGCTGGTCGAGCTTTCTACAAAAAAAGCGATGCGAGAACGTATTCTCTTATCTAAGCTTCTTTCCTGTGCATTAGCTCCCCCCATCGTAGCCACGCCCGGTGCCACGAAATGATTGAGAACGTAGACGGGGTCGAAATGCATTTTGTTCTTTGTATTCAATAAGTATTGCATGACCGAATAATTCAAGGAAGAGCGCACTGCGGGGAGGGTCCTTTTAAGTAGATGACTCGTCGGGCCGTCGGAGCGGGACTTCTTTGGGAAAAAGAACTTCAATAACTTCGTTTTTCTGAAGGAGTCGTCATTTTCTATCAGAAAGGCTATGCCATTTACAACCCCGGCGTATTTCGGATGCTTGAAGGCCCCGCTGACCCGAAGTGATTTAGAAAGATTCTTCTTTATCGATGATGATCGGTCATGGTATCCATAGCCTTGCTTCTTTTTCGGCCAAATCCTGATAGAGTTTGGCTTCTCCCGATCGTCGAGCCTGATCGACTCGACTCTTTTCCCCGACCCCCGGCCTCTCACTTCGTTTCCTTCTTCTTCTGTACCGTCGCTTGAATGAAGACACCCGATCGGCCCGACTTTCCCAAATTCCCACCACCGGCCCTTCACCTTTCCGGGTCTGGATTTTTCGCGTCGTTTTAGTCGTCGTGGTCGACGGGGAAGAAAGAAATGAATGAATGCTCTTTTGGGAAAATGTAGAATAATACACCTACCGAGGCGAAAGCCAAAGGTGAGTCTCGTAGGTGGACGTATCGAACCGAAATAAGATCTCAGATTGAGATCTTGATACACTGATTTCCCATAATAATAAATAGAGTCAATGGTGACAGAGCCGTGGGAAGAGCCGCTTCCTTCTTGCTTGATAGGGGGGGCTTCTATTCACCAACGCAGACTAAAAGTGCTCTCCGAACCGTGCTGGATAGTGACCCATCACACGGCTCTCAAACCCAACCTGTGGTGGATCCCGGAGACAAAGTAAAAGCGCTTTATCCTTTGCCCCATACTTTGAGATGCTCCTCCCCGTCGATCAAGGATTTTGATTCTCGTGATAGGCTTAGCTTTAAGCCGCTATCGTTCGGTTCGGATAAGTCAAGTCCCTTCGGTCGGTTCGCTCAGGTGGTCTTCCCAACTCTTCCCTAACGTTCAGAGTTGTTCTGGTTTGAGATGAGAAAGGAGCCCTTTTCGAATACCTAAGCGAGCGCCATGAATGAATAAGAAATTGACAGCAGAGGGAATCAATGATTCTTATTCGACCGAGTTATAGCTAGCAAGATGTCGATTACACACCGGAGGTTGGTAAGAACTGAGGGACAATGCCCCCGTAAGCGGGCCTACCAGCGAAGCAACTGGTACTTGATCGGGCGGGGGGCGGTTTGCTTTCGTGCAACGCCCTCGCAGCAAGAAGAGGCAGTTGTGAAAGGAAAGGCCCTTTCTATCTTAAACGATTAGAAAAGCCTAAACGTCCTTTATTGAAAACGAAAGCCGCGAACGAGCAAGAAAACGGATGCGCCTACAAACCTCTCCTGCTTATTCATTATGAATTAGGGCGAGCCCCAAACATCCCTTGACCTGTCGCTCCTTCTGAACCTCTCGCTGTCGCTCGAGTTCTAACGAACCTTTACTAAGAAACGAATCTAAAAAGTTGCCCTTCTTTCTCAAACTCAAAGTCAACTTTCTCACTTCTTGCTTTAGTTTAGTTTGATTGCAACTAGCGCGCTTGACTAAGTTGATAGAAAGTCAAGGCTCCTCTCCTCTTTTACGAATCTACAACTCTCTTTACTGAGCGAGACGTAACCCATACCCCTACTAGTGGTTATTCTTGATTTTCCATTCTATCCTTTGTTTGACAGCTTAAACTAGGCTCCCCTATAGGTTTTTGGTTTTTATATAGGTCAAGGGCGCGTCGGAACGGTCGGTAGCTGCTTAGTCTCATCCGACAACAATAAAAGTTTCCTTGTACTGCTTTTTTTTTTCAAAGAAAAAAAAGAAAGAAGGGGGTCGATTTAGGCTCCTTCCCTTCTACTGCATAGCTGCGCTAGCAGGTACTACGAGCCCTCTGTCCCACGCATCTAACCAGCTCGCGTGGTTCACCGGTTCCACCGAAAACTCTCATTTGTTGAAGCGGAGCATAGTGCGCTTTAGGCGCCGAGCGAGAAATGTCTCTTCTTTCGTTTCGGGTTATTCACTGATCTGAAACTTAGCACTTCTTTTCTTATTGATTCCAAGGGCGGCGGCATTCTTGAATGAAGTCTATCCGAACCGAATTAGCACTTCTCAGATCAGGCTAGGCCTCTCCAGCTGAGCTGGGCGCCGGGGCCCTGGATGCGCTAGCGATTGGCACATAGGGGAGTGGTTGCCCGGGTTTCTCGGCCTGGTATCCTGCACCTCACGTTCATGATATCTACATTCAACTGTGCCCCGGAGACACGGTCGAAGCACGCCCGCCCAGTGTGCTTCTTTCACGACATGCTCTAGTCCTGGGTGTCTTTCAGTGGTCTTCTAGCCAACAAATATCAGAAGTCGTGTCCGCCCCGGACATCCGCAACGTCCTCCCACGCCTTTTTCTATTTGAAATCTGGGACAAACTGAAGGAAAAGACTGACCCATTCGGTGACTTTCGTGGTCGCCCTCACTGAACCAACTTGAATCTGAACTACGATTCAGATCAAGTCTGACCGAAATCGGATTTCCCTTTCGTGCCATATGTACTTAGACTTTCCCTTTTTCCCCTTTTTTCTTCCCGGTCCAATATTTGTGCTCGAAGGTCTTCGTTTCCGTGTATCTGATCTCCTCTGCTCTTACTGAACCTACCCACAAAATCAAAAAGAAAGAAGAGAGATTTTGCCATGTTTCCCGGGAGAGGCCGCCTTCTCTCAGGCCAGCAGTCTTCTACTTCTAGTCGACTGCTTTATGACGGGCTTTCCTCTTTCCTGGGCTCTGCTCGCTTCGTCTACGCTCCGACCCTAATAATTGAAAAACGATATTTCCTTGCCCTTTAACTAACTGGTTAAAACTTGTCGTCAAAAAGAAAAAAAATGGAAATAGTTATTCAAGACCTAGATGGATCCCTATCTTTATCTCTATCCACGAAGATACCTATCTATATTACGAGAGATCTATCTATGAATCGATCTAGACTATCCTCTATCCGGATAGATATGTCCCTTATGAGCGACTACGCGGATCTTTATATGTTTTGGCCACGTTCGTTTCCGCGGAGAAGAAGAAGGTTTGGATCTTTCAATCTTATGTTGTGAGGGATGTGACCTATGTTAGGTCCATAAGATACCACAGCTTTTGGTGTTCTATGATTCACCTCCGAATAATGAGTAGGTAGTTCGATTCTTTTGATTTTTCTCTTCATAGTAAACTTCAGGGGGGATGCGGAGCAATAGGTCGAATTTCTATATAAAGAAGAGTTGTAAACTATAGGATTTCTTGTTTGAGTAGGAAAATTTCGGTTTTTCTCGTTCCTTCTCTTCGATAAGAATAGGGATTTGAAATGATACAAATTCCTCTTCATTCTGTTGTGCTCATCGAAATAACTGCCTAAGCATACTTTTTTGGATCCAAACTTCTTTGTGTCTTCTTCTTGCATAGAAGAACGCAACTGTTGCAAAAACTGGGATTTTAGTAGTAGGCGGCATTCCTTCTTAGTTTTGAGTTTTCGGAACCATTCTGTTTTTGTTCTTCGGAACATTCTCACCGGGCGATCCAGAAATTTTCCTATGAATTTATCAACTGATATTTCGCTATAGAAAGATCTCCTTATTTCTTCACCGCGGGTTCTCGCATCATTTTCTTGAAAAGATATTATATCACCGTGGGACACTTTAAAATGAATAATGTTTACCATTCTATTATTCACACAAACCCTTCGATGACTTATCTTATGCCTTGCTTGAGGAATAGTTTCACGAAAATGGAGACGAACCGGAATAACGTCCGATCTTGTTTCTGGATTGAGTAGAAAAGGGATATATGATCGTTTTCTTCTTCTGTGCATCTCTGTGATGGGTAAATCTCCATGAAAAAGGGACAACTTTCGTGTTGTTTGTGATTGAATGTAACTGTTAAGATTTTCTCTCGAATAAATCTTTCTCTTAATAGATCTCTTCTTGTTTCTCAATCTTTGGAGAATGCGGCGCTGTATTATTGTAAGTTCTCTGTTCCAAACATTTCCTGAAAGTAGACGACAAGTTTGAAATCTTAATGCAGGGCAAGGCATATCTCGTTGAATCCGTCTTTTTCGCCACATCGCGTATAACGGGAATCGAACCCGCATCTTCTCCTTGGCAAAGAGAAATTTTACCATTCGACTATATCCGCGTTTTTTATTCGTGATACACAATATATCCACAGATATATTATCATATATACCCGAATCCTATTTGTGCAGGGTCGAGCTGGAGACTCTCTTCAGAGAGATTCCAATTATTTTCTATATCTAATGAATTCTCTTTTTTTTTCATCCAAGAAGTTTGACCCCCCTCTAATTTTCTTTTTTTGGGGGGTCATTTTTGTTTTGGGTCTGGGACGAATAGGTTCAAGAGATCAGAGAATTAAGGATACCCACCAGAAAGACTAATCCAATCCATAATGATGCGCCAGAAAATACAACATTTTTCTTACTTGACCAACCACCAGGAGAAGCAAATGCGACAGGTATGCTAACCAATAAGATTATTGAAGTAAGAATTAATGCAAAAACAGCCAATTGGAAAACAAGAGTCATGCTTTTAATCCTCCAAGATACCGACAAATAAACTATACCATTTGATCCCTATATAAGAAAATACATCATCAAGGGATTTTCGTGTACCACGAATCGATTGGACTTGTTACCACCCCCTTTACCACTCTATCCGTACATGGAGTCAAGGGAAATGGAATTTCTTTTTTTATTTCACAAGTGGATATGGTGGATGGATAGATGGATCGATCGGTAGATTCACACCTGAGGTCTTTCTACAGATAGTAAGGGTATCCATCCCCTATGGCCATGTTCGATTCGGAAGAAGAAAATAAAAACTGTCTTTCGGAGAGATGGCTGAGTGGTTGATAGCCCCGGTCTTGAAAACCGGTAACGTTTTGAACAAAGAACTATCGAGGCGCTTCATGCCCTCTCGCTTCGCTCGAGCTCACTCAATCCTCTCATTTCGGTCGAGCCCCTAAACTCCCTCTCGCTTTGCTCGAGCTCTAACGAACCTCTCTCACAGCTGATTCAATAGCAACGAATTCGAACAACTAACAGACGATTCCTGCTGCGCATATGCTCTCCCTTACCTGGGAGGTTTAGCATAGATTGATTACCTGGGGAGCAGTCTAACGCCCTGTACGACGGTTAGGGTATTTCCGGCTTTCTTTACTTCATTTTCGTATTACCCCGCCCGGCTGGATATTGCCATTGTAGGAGTAGGCATAGGTCAATCATAGAATGTGCTTCCTTCCTTGGACTTTCTCTTTCGAAAGGGGTTCAACGCCATTATCAAGAAGTAGCATGAGAAGGACTCTCTCACAAGCCAGTCTATTCCCCGCCAAAGAAGTGCTTTTTTATGTGTGTCTGGAAGCAGAAGTATTTGCAGTTACTTTAGATCTTGGTCCAGGCCATTTCCCTTCGATGGCAGATCCCGTGGAAGTGCACTTTCTTTTGTGTCGGACTAGGAGAAACGTCATGACGTTCTAAGGAGCTAACTATCTGACAAGGCGCTATTCTCGTAGAAAAGCCTCCGCTTACTAAGTGTCGTAATAGTTAACAATTCTCGAGTGCTGCCAATAGATCCCCAAAATGTTGGCAAGTCAACTGGAAGGGCTAAGCTTATCCTAATCTATTTCAGAGAGTTAGAGTGCTCTGCCATATCCACTAGTTTGAGTGGTAGCTCCCTTGAATGGAAGCCATTGGAAGTGATCATTTACTGTCTTTCTCCCTTCCGTTCGCCTGGGTGGATTCGACTGTCAATTTCCCAACCCAGCATCAAAGCAGGCTCAAGTCCATGCAAGAAAGATTCCAGGAATCTGGTGCAATAGCTGCATCGATAACAGTTATCCCGAAAGATGTCACACTGTTGTAATGGATAAGAGGCCATTTTTGGGCGTTAAGGCAACCTTGTTAGAGTAAGGAAAACAAAGACTTTTGCATTTTCTGGCTCTTAGAATACTGGAAAATGCAGCTGGCATCGGGGGGCACAGAGAGGTAAATCCGCTGGCAAAGCGCTTGAGACGTTCCAACAAAAATTCACCTGACGCACTGAACCATGGGGGTACCCCGGGCTTAAGCTGCAGGACGGGGCTTACAACTAGCTAATGGAAGGTAAGCAAGACAAAGCAAGTCTTAGGGGTATTCATGGTAGCGGTAAGCCGTGATAGGTGTAAGCAAAATCGCGCATTAAGGTAAGCAGTACCGAAGAGGTGAGGATTGCATAAGACGGTCTTCCTATGAGAAAGAAATTGGTAGTCATCTTTTTTTTGCAGATCAAGTATCCGAATGCTCGAGCGGGTAGAGAAGTATACTTACGATATACTTTGACGCGGCCCACCTTGAGTTATTTTCCAACACGTTCCCCACACTCGGGATTTTCAATGCCTTCTGTAATCAAAGCTTCTGTAGTAAAGTGGAAGGAAATCTGAGACAAGTGTTCTGGCAACTGCAACGCTCCCTGAAAGGTCTAACTCAGGAGCCGTTTCTGATTCAAAAATCAAGACTCAATCATATGTCTGTCCCCCTCTTCCTTTGGTTTGGAGCTAGCTTCAAGCTACAGCTATGTCTTTGCTGTATATCTCTCACTCTCGTTCAGACAGGGGTTCAAAAAAAGCTCTTAGCCAACGCCCACAAGCATGATTCAGTGTGAAAATCACTTTCTCAAAGAAAGTCAAGTATGTGCTCCAAAATTACAGTTTGCACTAGTCACATCTTTCTCAAAAAGAATGTGACGCGGTGGTCAATCAAATAGATCCTATCTTTGTCAGAATAGAAGGAGGTACACAAACCAAGCTTTGAGAGTCAGAAGTTGGAGACTGGTATAGACTGAGGGAGCCTGCGACTTTCAACTCAGCCTTATGAGAGGGGCATTCCAACAAGGCTTCGTGAATAGTCAGAGCATTTGCTCATTTACGATCTACTCAACAAATAGTACTACCACCACGTTAAGGAACAGGATTGATTCTTCTTCCCAAAGAAAGTAGGTGTATTTTTGGGGCTTGTTTTGATGATGGGTAGGCTTTTGTGCTTTGGCCCGGCATACGGATATCATATCAGGGGGCTTTCATCGAGGAAAACAGGCTTGATAGGCCCAAGTCTGAATTTGTAGGACTTTGTTGGACGGGCCCGTCGATTACAGATCGTCGTGGGCTCAAACCAGCTCTCGTTAAGCCAGAAAACCTTCGCTTGGCCCATTCGATTGGGTTTCAAATAAGAAAGATTTTTGAAATATTTTCTAAAAACTCTATATTAGAAAACGGTGAAATCCTTATTTCATTATATAGAGTTCACGATCTATGGGGCCCTCGGAAGACGGCTAAGAATGTCCATTAAAAGGAGCGGAGCTTTTTCTTTCAAACTGTCTTCAAGCACGAATAGAACGGGTAAAGGAAGGTATTCTAAAATCCTAAGAGCTTTCCGTCCAGTTTTTTTGTCACTTTCTTCTTTTAGAAACTTCTTCACTAAACGAAATTCAAAAAAAGCTGTACTGACTAGTGTGAACTGAGCTGTAAACAGTACCTTTGCTGGGAAAAAGCAAGGGTCTGATCAGATCAATCAAGTGTTTCAAGGACAGAGCTGTCGAGTGAGGATTGGGCGAGGGGAGTTCAAGATGTACCTGGATCAGCCAATAAAAAAAAGACAAGTAGAAGCGCAGGGCTAAATAGTGCAAGTAGGGTACGGGCGGAGCGAGTCGCTTAAGCGAAGCTTTTGGACAGATCACATGCTTTTTGTACTGGTCCGCTTTGAGCTGTCGAGTAAGGAGTGCTCTATCTCTTAAGAAAGGGGCTTTGGAAACCTGCCTTATTAGACGAGAAAGGGGAGTACTCTCTGATGTGCGTTCTATTATTACCTCCTATTCCTGAGGGAGTGATCGGGATTAAGCCGCGTGGCGATACCCGCGAAAAAGAAAGTCCTATTCGCTCTTTGGGGTGGGCCTTTCGTACTCAAATCCGTACGGGGAAAGGACAATTATTCAGCAAAATCTAGTGGATGGGGTTCCATATTCATGAAAAGCCAGGTTTGAACCATGTTACGGAACCAAGACAAGAATTCTTACTAATAATAAGAAAGGGCCTTAAGCATAATAAGTTCGGGTTAAGGGCCTCCAACGCCTATAAATAGAAGCTTCTTTCAGTCTATATTTTCAAAGAGAGAGGTAGAAGTCAGAAAGAAAGACTTTCAGTAAAACTGAATGGATATCATTGCCGAAAGACTGGCAACAATTCGGAACGAAATCCGTCAGGTAGAAAACCAGAAGCTCCAATGTGAGCGAATGCTTGGTCTGTTCTGGGAGCATCCGCCCCCTCTCGATCCTGAGGACGTAGGAAGAAGGATGCAATTTTTACGGGACCGCATTCGAAGTCTAGAAAACCAAAAGAGGGCCCTCCTCAACGAAGAACAAGACCAGATTGTGCAGGCCACCAACCTCTCCCGCGATGACCAGGGAGACTAGAATAGAAGAGTCCACTCTTTTTAGTTTTATAAGGTTTCAATTAAATAAGTGTCTGGAGACATTTGTTTTCATGTCTGGTGTTCTTTGTCTTTTTTTAGTGTAGATCTATTCCGGTGCCTACTGGAGATAGACTCCTATCTATGCTAACTAGCTTTGTTTGGTGTTATTTGTTATGTTTGCATGTATGGCCTAGTGTAAAATGTTGTCTACTTAATGCTATGTTAATATAAATAAAGACTTTTTCGTCAAAATGTGCTTCATGTGAAAGTTGAAATAAGGTGTAAGCTAAGTGTACTACTGGAGATGTGCTTATTAAGCTTTTACAGCTCTGAAGCTTCCTTCCTTACTGTAATGTGCATAAGATAGGCCTGACGCAAGGTAGTTGACTTACTTACTTGATAGAGTAAGGTAATGACCATTTTGGAACAAGTAAGGAGATATCGCACGGAAAGCCGGATTAGGTCTTATAATCGAGATTTCTTCGACAGGCCTTAGTCCCTCTGGGGCTTCAGAAAGGATAGCCATATAAGTGACATCCTAGCCAGAGAAGAGCGAGTGAAAAAGATACTATGCCTTAACCATATAGTCGCCCCTTATAAAGAAATCTAAGGGGCTATATGGGACTTAGTATAAGCTCTCACCTGATAAAGAAAGAAAATTGTAACAGGCGTCCCGGAAGCTATTCCTGTAATAGGATCGCCTTTGGTAGGGATGTTTACGAAAACATAATTCCCACCAAGGCAAGTAGTGAAGTGTAACGTGAGACATGTAATCTCTCATTTTGTTGGCAGGGAAGCCCACCAATAATTAGTGAAAGTCTACTACAACATCCACTGTTCTGGGGCTACGTGTCATTAGAGGGATATGACAAAATCTTATCTCTTGAAAAAATCCACAATTCGGGAAAAAAATCGAATGAAAAATTGCCAGCCTTGACCTCAGACATGAGTGTATGAACTGCATTGTGTGTTTACCAGTGCCCGTATATAGCTACTTGTCGCTTAGGACAAAAGTGGTGACAGATTACCAGGACGAAGTAGCATAGGTTTGATGGGGTTAGTTTCTCATGTGCCGTGACCTAGTCGAGGGTTGGTCCTAAGAGATCCTTCTAGTAAGAGCAAGATAGACAGTAGACTAAGGAATGAAGGTAAGACCCCTCTTTGAATTCCTTTTCTGGTACATTCACCCCTGCTGTAGCATCTGATGCCTGTCTCGGTTCGGTTAGCGAAGCATTCTATTCTAAAAGCTCGGTTTTCAAGGTGAATGAAAGAGCCTGGAGTTGGGCCTACTTACTGGACTGATCTGATCCCTGTAAGGAGTTTGGATTATAACGCTCCTTTAGATAGCTTTATACCCTACCTAGTCAAATACTGAACTGAAAACTGGAACTGAAGGGCCTGCACTGGTCCCTCGCT